TTGTGGTGTGCTCGAGTATGGGTTGCTTTTCTAGACTGGGCTGATGAGTCTGTTACTGTAGTTTTGCTAGTATGTGTACCTCTGTTGCATAGCATATGTGTTTTGTGGTCCTTTCGTTTGTTTCCTACAGCTTCTTTAACATATCCATGTCAACGTCATTTCCATGGCGTGACACCCTGTCTATAGATCATCTATCTACATACTTGCGTTGAATGCACACATAGAGAGAGTGGTTTATATTTATACCATCTGTCTACATACATACGTACTTACGTATTAGTCGCACTATAGAAAGAGTTGTTGTCCTTGTCCATACTATGGTACGCAATCTACAGAAACACAAAACACACACACACGCACTGCCATCTGCACGCACATGTATATAAAGACTTCCACGTACACATGTGTAAGGAGACAAGTATGCCCATCAACCCCTCTAGTGACCCGTACAACTTTTAACCCTATACCCTACCCCAACTCTAGTAACCCTAACCCTATACCCCAAAACCCAAAACCCAATAACTAGTCTATCCTTAACCTTCAACCCCAAAACTCTTTCCGTTCCTGTCACAGATCAAACCGCTTGTATTCCAACAGCCCTCGCGCAACCAGCACTGCATCGCCATAACACTTAAGGAGAACCACGTGACTCAGTTTAGCACTGCGCAGGATGCAGCTAACGAGTACTTGGGCAAGACCGTGTACTATGGATGGCCACATCTCAAGCACGGGTAGGCGGATAGTATATATATATATATATATGTTTTCAAGTATATGTAGTATGTTTCATCACACGAGATGCGCGATCGTAGCACGCCATTTTGTAACTAAGCTTGCATATATGATATACAGGCTGGTAACGAAGGTGAGTGACAACAAAATATACTTGGAACTGGGTGGGAACGTAGACAAAGCACTGCAGAATGGGACCGTGCACAAACTACCCAAGCAAACCAGAACCAACAACGACTACGAAAGCACAGAACACCGCCGAATCAGCCAGGAGACGAAGAATAACTACCGCAACAGGATGGCCATCAAGGTGTGTACAAAGGATATATATACATAC